AGGAAGCTTATTGCAGACCTGGGATAAGTGCCAGCTTTGTGCTTTAGTCACAAGACCATTTTTCCCCCTATTTAAGCATTTGTTATTGAAATTGTTATAAGTATAGGCCAGTTTTTTATCACTTATATAAATGGAGTTGGAATTAATTTGGTCCCTAAATTTTGTACCTTGTTTGAATACAAAATATCAGTGTTTATTAAAATATTGTTGCAGTGTCATTAGGAGATTTTCAAATATCAAGGAAGCTGTGTTTTTCTCTTTCAGTTTTCAAAAAGCTTTCTCTGCGCTGGGACAAATGCAAGATCAGATAATAATGTGATACTTTTTTCCATTATAGAACAGTCTTTAGCAGAAGGCTGAAATATACCCTTATCAGGTGAAGTTGTTTACGAAAGAAACAAAGCTATTCAGAAAGATAGTGTCTCTTTGTTTTTCTAAATTATTTAGAAGGAACTGTTGGTCCACTGATATGTAGATAGCTATCCCATGTTGTGTTCACTATCACCTTGCCAGGGTATCTTTCTACTCTCTTGTAATTACTGAGCCCTTAAAAAAAAAAAAAAAAAAAAAAGGTATTTTTCTATGGGTAAAGTGTAGCACTTTAGATAACATTGTAGAGGCCTATTCTCCAACTGTACTGTAGATAAGCAGTTTTTCCTTGCATAAATGGTACTGACACTCCTTTCAGATGATTTCATTATCCAAAAACTTCCGAACAACCTGCTTAGGAGTTCAGAACTTGTCTTACCAAATGGAAGAAGACAGGCTTTTAGGAGTTATAGCCTGCTTCACACGAGCGTTTAGGAAGTGTGCTTTCTCTCCTGCATGCAGAGACGACAGTGTAGATGTGCTCTTCTCTATACCGGCGCCTACACAGCCACTATCATGACTGCCCTAGAAATTTCTGATTTATAAATAGAGGAGACTTGTGCTTGCAGGGTATTTCAAAGAACACTTTTTACAAGGTCAAGTCACATTCGACAAAAAGTCTTGCAAACAGCTATTGAGATCGTCAAGACATTTCAAAAATCCTTAATTTTGAATTTCAGGGGGGGAAAAGGGACAACATTTAAGCATTTCTGTGTATGTGAAAATTTAGTCCCAAGTTTGACCAGTTGTGAGAGTTTAGAGAGCACCTCTGTAATACCACAGATGCAATTACCCCATCTTTGAAAACAAAATAGAGACTTACAACCAGAGGAACACATCTGATCACCATACTTATCCAAGTAGTCCCATGGGGTAAGGCAAGCTGGATTTGGACTAGAGTCAACAATGTGAAAGATAAAATGTCAGGAATGGGCCAGCACCTGGGAGAACAAAACACTTGTTTTTCCATGGAGGAAGAACCTAGAGAAAAAGGCTGCCAGAGAAATTAACATCTATCAGCATCCCAGATAATCCCATTGACTTCAACAGAAGTAGAATTGGGACCAAAAAAAGCAGTTTATAATGCCAATTGTTGGAGACATTTCTGTAAGGAGCAAGGTAGTGCTATGCTGTACTCCCGTTGCTACAGACCCTAGTGCAGCAAGCTTCCCAGCATAGGTTGGCCCTTACACCCACCTAGAGTTCCATTGATCTTGGAGTCCACATGAACGTAAGAGGTCGGCCCATGGAGATGAGTTTAAATTAGCATCTAAATCTGTTCATCCTACTCACATGCGGAGTCTCACTGTAGATAATAAGAGTACTCATAGAAGGTGATCGAGCTTTGGCTCACAGTGTCCAAAAAAGTGCAAAAAGTGAGCAAACATCAATGCTAGGAAAATAGAGCCCTTAAGAATGATCTAAAGGTCATAGCAATTGAATAAATATTAATGCACTTATGCAAAATCTGAGCAATGCGCTGTTACGACTGAAATATTATTCAAAGAAAAGTATTGTAATTAAGGGTGTTTTTTCCCTGCTAGGCATTGAAAAAGAAACCCTGGGTTTATTTTCTGCCTTTAGCTAAGGAGTTGTTGTTTTTTGTTTTTTTAATTCTGATGTGATTTCTTTCAGACTGAATGAATAACTAGTTAATACTTCAAAAGTGCGGCACTCCTGTTGCGAAGCATTTAATTTTTTCCGCCCTGTGCTGTTACTTCTAGGTGCGTTACTGGGCTGCAGCAGCTGCTAGTTTGTCTAACCCCTGGAAGTCAGAAGGCATAAGTGTCCCTAGAGCTAATACAAAATGTATGGGCATGTCATATCTGGAAATTCCTGCTCTTGGAAGTGCAAGCTTGGAGGGGAGCCAGAAAGCCTGAAGGGGCGAGGCAGGGACAAGATTTAGAGGAGAAAGGAAAGCGGGAAGAGAGAAAAGAGAAGTAAATTGGGAGCATAAAGTGGGGTGGATGAGAAAGTGAGGCCTGAAATAATTGGAACAAGAGAGGGCCTTTGGAAGGAGAACAAGCTATTACTCCATAGTGATACAAACCTTTTTGGATTATCACAGCCAGATCCAGAAGGGTACATTTTTCCGTATCCCAAATAGCTGTTAATCAAGTTTCCCTCCCCACCATTATTCTCAAAGGCCCAGGATACCTACTGGTCCCCTGAATTAGGAAGCCATAGCCCAACTACACAAACATGACAGGCAGCAGCTCAGGGGAATAGCTATTGTGGAGGTACCGGCTGACACACAATGACAAAAGCAATCAACAATATCAGTAGTATTATTTCTGTCCATTGCCTCCTACACAACATTTGTGACAGCAAGGGTGAAGCAAAAGTTTAACAGACAAAATGGATATAGGAGGTTAGAGGCCTTCCTGCTAATAATACATCAACACACAGAGAAGCAGCGTAACCCGGTGTGTTGAAAACTGCAAGCATCAAGCATGCAAATCTACTGTGAGATAGTTTGTGCACATATTTTGTTAGTGCAGGGAGAGAAATGACAGTATGAGGGGATAGATAGCATAGAGGGCTGAAGCTGGCAGACTTTAATGTTATCATTTTTTATTATTGTTTTGTTTGACCGTAGGTGATAGCTGGGCTTGCCCCTTTATCACAGTGTAATTAATATTGTTAATGTACATGGTCTAGGGCAGTGGTTCTCAACTCTCAATCCTTGGGCTTCTTGTGTCCCAATCAGCACACAACTGAGGCCTATGTGACCTCCTCAGGGCCATACAGGTAACATTGGATGCGGCCCACATAACACTTCATGGACCACATATATGGCCCCCAAATTTAGCTAGGTTGAGAACCAGTGGTCTATGGTGAGGAAATATTATGGGCTAGTGAAGCAGGTAGGTGGCCAGTAGACTTTAATATGGTAATGTTTTGAAGGTTAATCATATTCTGATTCACAAAATCCTAACAAAGATCAATGTTCAAAAAACAACTTCATTGAACACAAAACATTCACATCAGTTGACATGAGTAACTAGTGTAAAATCCACACTCAGAGAACAAACCAAGTATTCTAGAGACAGGCGAGGTGGCTTGCATGGGTTCCTGCTCTCTTTCACAGGTGACAGTTGAGGGTCATGGTAATGATCGGAAGGGAATAGGTGAGAATAAGACACTGCTACTGTTCTGTATCATGGCACTATTTTAAAGAGCTAGTCCATGCTGCACATGACCTGCGGAGGACCATAGTGTGCAATTTGCCTTTGTCTCTGCATGTATACACTGAAGAGCTCCCTGTGGCACTCTTCCTCCTGCAGCCACATTCACTGTCATGATGGATGTGAGATGGCTTCTGTCTCCTCTTCCTTAGTATCTATCTTGGAAGTCAAATTGTGGGTTAGTTTGCCATCCTGCTTTTCTGTTTCCTTAGTTCCGCATCACAAATTCTGTCATTGTCCCTTCACAACCCTCTGAAGGCCAAGAACCCGTTCGTCTCTTATTCTTTGCCTCTCACCACAGAGACTGGTCAAACACTCTGCCTCTCGTGGTGCTGATGGTCACTATCCTGATCTCAGGGGCTCACAGAGAGCACAGCTGAACCTTTTCTTGTCAAGCAGACTGACTGTTATTGCATTGTAATCTGTTATTGCATTGTAATCTGTTATTGCATTGTAATCTGCAGGGAGAGGGTCTGTAATGGAGCACACAAGTCTCCACACAAGGCAGGAAGGGGTTAATAGGCTGTTGTACGTGTCTTGTGCTTATTTGACAAGATGTGGTCTACTCAATGGAAGAGGTTGAGCTGGGGGGTCCTGGGCTGGAAAGGCTGGTTATGTGTCTGGGCACTAAAGGATCCTCTGTGGCCTGTCACCTTGGAACAAGATTGGCACTGGCCCTGATGAGGAGGAATGCAGGCCAAAAGCTGGAAGGGAAAAGGTGTTGTGAACCCACAGCAACAGCTTAGGATGGGTAAAAGCAATGGTCAAACAGAGAAGGAATGGAAGAGCCAAGAGGAAGCCCTCAATAATCTTCCGTGATTATAGGATCATAACTAGGGTGACCAGATGTCCTGATTTTATAGGGACAGTCCTGATATTTGGGGCTTTTTTTATATGGGATCCTATTACCCCCTACCCTGTCCCGGTTTTTCACACTTGCTAGCTGGTCACCCTAATCATAACAGATACACTGCCTAAAATGCTTCAGCTTTCAGACTGCACACTGAGTCTAACATTGTCAAATGTGCCTAGGACACTTAGGTGTTTTTGAAAATTTTATCCTGGGGCTAAATCATTTTGTCATACATAATAATAATAATGGAGAGATATCCCATCTCCTAGAACTGGAAGGGACCTTGAAAGGTCATCGAGTCCAGCCCCCTGCCTTCACTAGCAGGACCAAGTACTGATTTTGCCCCAGATCCCCAAGTGGCCCCCTCAAGGATTGAACTCACAACCCTGGGTTTAGCAGGCCACATAGATGTCATTAATGAGACTAAATCAGATATCTACATACTTTCAGGCTGAATTTCTACAGCAAAGTTTCCAACAATAACCTCTTAGCCTTCAATGCAAAATGAAAATGAAAAAGTTTCTCCTCTAATTATTCAGTAGGCAATTGCTGGAACTGCTGAATCAGTAAATTATAACTCTCCCCCCCCCCCCCCAATCAACACATATTAATGATCAGGGAAGCCTGGAAGTGTTATGTAGGATTATTCTGGAAATTGCTGGCTGAAACTGCCTTAATCTGGATATGACTGGTTATGAATAAGGATGTACAAGTCATTATCAATTTTCATCAAGTTGGCCCAAGTCTGTTTATCCCTTTGCTGTATGTGATGATGCATTGCTGTCTACATGAAAATATCCCATCCGCCTCCTAGAAAAGCTTAATAATTTATCTACAGTCCATCTTACTCTAGACTAGTGCACACTGTTTGTCTGCCGAGCTGCACAACCAGATCTTAAAGTAACGGCATTGTGGGCTGCAGACAGCTTTGCTTGACATTCCCCCATTTTTCATTATATTGATATTTTGCCAGGGTTTAATGTTACATTTTCAAAACAAAACAGCATAAGAATTCAACACTGTGGTGTTTGGGAGATGTGTCATGATCTTGATTACAAATGATACTATATAATCAGATGGAAGTTTGTGCTGGTATCATCCATGGTGCATATAAAGACAGAGAAAACAAGTTGCCTATTCAGTAACATTTACAGGCATCAAATAAAGCCCAATATGATAGCTATGAAACCTGGAAGACAGTCTACTTGCTTTCTCCCGTTTTGTCAAGCTGAATCATCCTTTGCAACGAGATCAAAAATCCTGCAATGTAAAGCAATATTTACCCCTCCTTCCCTACTCAGGAAATTCACATACTTGGTCAAGGGTTAACTGGGGTGCTCACAGGATTATGGGTTGCTCCACCCCTCCCTTGCTTCCTGGCAGTTCCTATTTATTTGGTGTGTGTTTATTATTCTTGCTTGCCTTAGCTTACTTTGATGTTGCCACACTAACAGGAAGCAGTCTATCACACCTGCAACTGCAGAGGGCTGAAAAAGATGTCAGCTTTTCTGATTTGTATGTGCTTACAGGCTTTTTAAAAAAATTGGTTTGCCTAGTGCAGCTGTATGTTCAGCATTCAGGGCCTAATCTACCATAAGACCACCCCTGCAGACTCTCAGCATGCAGATCTCCCATGATGTAGAGGCAGGTCTGCTTGCAGTGGTCTTTCAGGATCAGGTCGTTTTAACTGTAGCCTTCCTGTCTATACCACTTCCAGTAACAGTCAATTACTGAAACACAAAATAATCTGATCACAGAGGCCTTTACTGCATAGGAGCTTTTCAGCCACTACCTTAAATTTGATCCATCTAAATCTATTTCCCCACCACCTTCAGGCCACTCCTTCTATCAGACAGTCAAGTGATTTGGAGCGCACCATGAGTGATTTTTTTGAGAGCACCCCCGTACGATTCAAAATTCAGTTGCAAATAAGCTTATCCAAGCTATCCAAAATTCTGGAGTCTGCAACATTGGGCTAGAAGAAGACTTGCCAGAACTTCCTACTAGGAAAAAATAAAATTACTACTACTAATAATAAAAAAAAAATCAGACAGACAGCCTCAATGGCTAGAGGGGCCTTCTAGGATTGGGTCGCTAAGCAGACAGCTGGATGCTTTGTTTTTTTCAAATAATTGGTGTCTGTCTTCTGTAAGACTCCTGTCCTTTGTTCCTCAGCTGTCAGATCCTGCTAAGCCCCCTAGTCCCTCTGTTCTCACTAGTCTGTCCTAGTGGATACTGATGTGCTAACCAGTATGTGCTCCCTTCCCTTCTCTCCCAACACACCACACCCTACATACACACAATTGCTATCAAAGGTGCGCAGGTGTTCACGTCACCATTTGGATTCCACTTACACTGCCATCCTTGCTCTAGGGATGGGATTGTGGAGCATGATGCCTTCTAGGCAGATGTTGTGACACACTGTGATGTAGTCATCATGGTAACACAACACCAAGCTTCCTGAACCTGAGCTTACTTAACTTCAGTGCATTCAGCAAACTCCATAAGGGCTGCTGTGGATTGCTGTGAAGATCTTCTGAATAGTTCTTCTAACAGGAATGTCTGGTTCTGGTAGAGTTAAAGTTAATTTGGGATTTTGACTGAATTCCTTCTAGATGTTTCAAGTGAAGGCAACATATTGGTCCAAATTCATCCCTGGTAAAGCTCTGAGTTTGAAGTTGGTCCATTGGTTTTAACAACCAGACAAAATACAACCGTAGCTAATACTAAATATGTGGCACATGAACTGTGTTGCTGCCCAGTAAAGAAGAGAAAATAGAAGGGGGGGAAATAGTGCATTACTATTTAATGTATCAAGGTGGTAATATCGAATAGTGATATCTTACAATGATAGAATGTGTAGATCCTAAAATTCTTTCCAGACAGATAGACAAGCTGTAAAGTGGGGTCACTAAAGACAGGAGAGAGAGATTCCATCCTCTAGCCCTCACAATACATTCTCCCCTCCCCTACTCAGACTTAGCAGAGGGGTGAGGATTTAGCCTTTGAAACATTGACAATTAAAGGAAAAGAGAAAGCCCTTTTGGTAGAAATAAACATGATTTACACTCAACCTTGCTATCTGTTACTATAGTGCCATGTGTGTGTCTACTAGTAGGTTTTCTATAGCACCCTCACTGCATTATATAAATACTCCCCAGGTAAATTAGGTTAGCGTAGGAAGATGCCTAGTAGACCTCATGGAGTCTTCTGGTCGTCTTTGGTTATACAAGTCTCTGCTTAAGATATATGTTTAAAAATATTCCAGTAAAAAAAGAAAAGCTTGATCAAAGAAGAGGATCTTGCTATATGTCCTAAAACTAGCTGGACTCTGAATAAGTCAGAGTTCCTTTGGAAATTCATTCCACAGCTGAATTGCCTCAGTGGAGAGTGCTTTATCTTTGACCAGGTGAAGCTACATTGTCTCAGAAGAGTATAAATGTTTTGTAGGCTCACAAATGGGAATGTGGTAGCTGCTGTAGTTGGCACCTGACTTGTTAATGGCTTTGAAGATCAAAGCTAAGGTACAAAGCCGACAATGAGGTGGACTGGGAACCAGTGGAGGGACTAATGAATAGTGATGGATGTGCTTAATAGCAGCCCCTTCCACCGAGGAAGCAGTAGCCACATTCTGTACAAGCTGGAGCCTCTGCATTGCTGCCACCTTCGACTCCAGTTACAATAAATGATAGCAACACAGTCTGCAGCTGATGAAAGCATAGATCACTGTGATCCTTGTCTGGGAGGAAAAGACAATGTTTCATTGCGAACTGGAGGTGGAAGAAAGCATTTTTCATCATGTACAGTAACTTATATGCTGTGTTCAATGATAAGTGGAACAGGAGGACCTCTGTTAACAAATGAGGAATGGATTCCTTCAATAGAAGGGGAGGACATTATTGTAGCTAGTCTTCAAAGTGTTCCTCTTCCAAACAGCATCAGCTGTCTTTTCTGGGTTCAGATTGAACCATCTGTTCTTCATCTGGGAGCTGATCTCTTGTGGGCATTGTGATATCCTTATAAAAGCTGTGGTTTCATCTGTGGAAATTGAAATATAGAATTGAGTCTCACCAGTGATTTGTTATCATGTTACATCATTTCTCAGTCAATTGTGGCTGTACTCTGAAAGGTGGCTCTGTAAAAATATTATGACTTAGCCCATGCAATCTGAATTCAGCCCTCTTGTGCATATTACTCCTGGGGGAATTCTGCACCAAAAAAATAAAATTTCTGTGACAAAAAATTTAAAATTTTGCATACATTTTAAAATTCTGCATATTTTATTTGTCAAAATAACACTGTATAATCATGCCAATTTCAATTATTTTGATAGTTTATTCAAAACACCTGTCAGCAAGTATGCTTGAAACAATACAGACAACAAAAAAGATTCAGGAAATGTTTTTTTGACAAATAGATTCCTTACTAGGAATATTAATACAGAACTTTGAGTAATAATTCATTTAAACTACAATACAGAAAAGTATTTCCTGCACCCCTCAGAAGCAGTGCAAAGGCTTAAGGGAGTATGGGGTAACGGAAGAGCTGAGGGAGAGGGAAGTAATTGCTGGGAATAGGGTGACCAGAGGTCAAGTGTGAAAAATCGGGACAGGGGGTGGGGGGTAATAGGTGCCTATATAAGAAAAAGCCCCCAAAATCGGGACTGTCCCCATAAAATCAGGACATCTGGTCACCTTAGCTGGGAAGGAGCCTGGGAATGCACTTGAAGTGTTGTTGGGTGTGGGAGAAGTATGGAACAGTTTTGTTTGTTTGTTTGTTTGTCGGGGGGGAGGGATTGTTAAGGAATTGGGAAGCCTCTCCCATGCAGACCCTGGTTGACCCCCTAGCCTCTCCCATTCAGTCAGGCACATCTGTCCCTGTCTGTGTGTCCCTGCACCCCCACTCTCTCATGTGGCCCTGCACTCTAATCAACCAGTCATAGTTGCCCCTGTCCCCATGTATCCCTGCACCCCCACTTCCATTCAGTCCCTGGCTCAGGGTTGTCACCCATTAGCCTCTGCCCCTCCCCACTAGCCCTTCTGAACGCCAGTCTGTGTGACCCTCCAGTACAGCCTTGAACTACATGACCACCTACTATTTTTCCCATAAGACCCCTGACTCAACGTTCTAGACAACCTTAACATTGCTGCCAGCTCCATCTATAATAATGGTCATTCTCAATGAAAGTGCTGTTTCACAACTGAAAACCTTGAGCTGGCTGCTAGATATATTAGATCTTTGTTATGCTCCTCTTCTATTGGTCCAGAGACCCACCAGAGCCTCACAGAATGTCACTGAAGTACTTTGAGATTCTCAGATAACAGACACCTTTGGCAACATTTGCTAAAGGTCACTATTTTAAATGCTTCAGTTTTTGAGTGTCCAGCTTGAGAGGGGTGCTGAATGCCTGCAGTTCCCATTGATTTAAATTGGCATCAAAGGTGCTAGAAAATCAGGCCCAAAGTGTTTCAAAGCTGAATACCCAAAATTAGGGGCCACTTTTGACCCCTATATAAATGCAAAGTTTATTATTTATTTATTTATTATTTTATTATGGGACACTTAAAGCAGAGAGAAACCAAGCTGATTCACAAAAAAACAAACAAAAAAAACCCCACTACAGACACACTGACTTGGAATACACAATGTGTCGAAGAGCTGACTAAACCTCAGGATTTTTGATTTGTGAGAAATTTTAATTATTTTTTTTAAATTTGATTTCCTTCCGAATGGGAAAGAAACTAATTTTTTCAAGATTTCGTGTGAACTGGAAACCCCAAAACGGTGTTTTGGAAACAGGGACACATGGTGTTTCTGAAATTAAATATGCTCTTGGGGACCCCAGCAGCAGCTGAGTGAAACTGACATTTTTGTCAGTTTAACAGTGGTGAAATTGACAAGAATGTCAATTTGTCAGCCGCTGCTGGGGCTCCCAGGGTCTGTGGCACCAGGGCAGCCCCACCATGTGGATTGACCTGGGCTGGAGTCTGGTGCTTCAGCTTAGCTGACAGTCTGGAAGCCTTGGAATTCCCAGTCTGAGTTGTCCTGGAGTCACAGACCCTAGAAACTGGGGCACCTGGCCTCAAGGCAGTTTGTATGGCAGGGCTGCCCCAGAGTCCAGGACCCTAGAAGTCTGAGCTCCCCAGCAGCCTGCCAGGCTAGCTGGCTGGGAGGCAGGCAGGTTTTGCTCTGCCTGGCAGACAGAACCCTGCCTATGATGTGACAAAAGTTCGTCAAACCCAAACTGTTTTGCCAAGATATTTCGCATTCAACAAACTATCATTTAAGCTTGTTTCCTGAGACATACTTACACTTCATAGTGCGCATACATATATATGTCTGTGTGGAGTTAGAGGAGTAAATCAAATCTTTCTGTTTCATGGCACTTGTAAGAGTCTGAATAACTATTACCCTTCATTAGAAAGCACAAGGTAAGAGTGGTATCAGAATGAGTGAGATAAATAGTGAGCACAGTCTATCTCTAACTCATTATATAGAAAGACCTAACAATTAGACCTGGTGGCTACATCAGTAGGAGGTGTTTAAAACTACTGTAAGCTGAACAATGCCCTCTAAAATCAGACACTGATACAGAACAGTTAGAGAGCGGGTAGACCTTTGTTTCACATATGCATTATTTAAGCTGGGCAGAAAAGAAAACCAAATGTTATTTCTCAGTATTGCCTTTTGAAGCAATTATGTGGAAAACTGTTTAGAAAAATATGCATTGAAAAAGAATCTCTCCCCAAGAATAAAATGTAGTGAAAGGAGCTCAGAGCTCTCTTTTGCTAGACTGAGGTGAACAAAACCAGCTCGATACCTTGGGGCCAGCAGATCTGGAATTCCCTTCATCATAAGCACTGATTCATTTTGCCTAAATGTGTCATGCTGGTGAATCCTGAGGTTAATTATTAGATTATTCTAATATACATCAAAGACTTTCGGAGGCTCCTGAGTCTTGGCAGTTTAATATGTTCATTTATCAGGAGCAGGTAGGAGAAATGAAAACTAATTAAATGATTTTTTTAAAGTCTTTTAAAATTATATTGAAATCCTATTCATGGAGCTGGCTCAGTGATACAGCAGGAAGTGCAGTGCGCTGCTTGAGGGAGACCTGGGTTCCAACGATGGTACTCACTGATTTTCACTCTTTGACCTGGGCTTTGGGAGTAGGGCTCTGTGAGCTTTTTGCATCAAAACTTGACCCCATGCAAAACTCAGCTGGGGCCTGATCCATTGCCCTTTGAAGTCAATGGTAGTCTTTCCTTTGATTTCAATAGACTTTGGATCAGGTAGTTGGTGTCTGGTTTCAGCCCAGTCCTGCCTTTTACATTCCCTCCTCTTTACAACCAGCCTAGGCTCCCGACAACTACAAGAGATTACGGGTGCAGTGGTCTTCTATTCTCCTGCATTCCTAATGTTTTCAGGGACAGTCATCTGGCTCCCAGTCTTGGACTTCAGGAGGCAGCTAGCTGCCCTCTAAATCTTGGTGAACTTTCTTTGGGGGAGTTTTTAGACAGAGAGGAATTATATGCCCACTTTACATTTTGATTCCTATTACAGAAGTATCTCTAATCCCTTTGCTGCCCCTTACCAAGGACTAAAGATGATATGCTGCAGAATGCATTAGGATAATAGGAGTTCCCAACTGGAGGAATGCAGAAACCCATGATTACTTTGTGTTCTGGTGTGTTTCAGTTCCAAAATGTGGTAAAGAGACTCGATAAGTAACAAGAGCTGGATGACAGGAAGTTTTCACAGTCCTGTTGCAGCAGAGCATCATAAAGGTGTGCAAGCCAGCCGAGTCTGCAAAGACATGAAAGAAATGTAGGGGGAGCTGCCTACATTCTGGAACCTAAAATTCCAAAGAGGGCGTGGGCCAGTTAGTTACCCAATGAAGACATCAGGAGGGAAATATGAGTAGCAGATTACTGCAACTCAAGACATGTATTGCTAAGAAGAGAACATGATTCTGTTGGCAGGAAAGGGAATTATGGTGGATGGTGAAGATCTCTGCTCTCACTGCAAAATCACTGAGTTTTACTTGAGTTTATGTAGAAGATTTGTGACTACCTAATTTTTGAGTCTGGTGATATGAGGCCTGTGTCAAGGGAAAGGAATGGGGTTATATAACTGGAAAAAGTCCTGCAGGGAGGAGGTACAAGGTAATTACATTTCATTTAAACATGGTTCACTATTGTTTGGTTGGAGCAAAACAAACATTGTGGAGTTTAACATTTTCCACTTTCCTAAATAAGTTTTCAAAAGTCTTCTCTAGAAATGAAATGTTATGGAAGAGCTCATAATATGAACTGATTATTATTTTTTATTATGTTGTAGTGTAAGGAAGGGGAGTTATTTAGTCACTAAATTCCCTGATGCAGAATTTATAGTATCTACTTTTCATAAGCATTATTAATATGTGGAATTAGAGTGACCGCAATGTTGCAACAGAATGTGATGGCAATACTATGTGAACTGAAATGTCTTCTGGATCTTCTTCGCATCACGGACTGTAATGATTCTGTCCGCACAGTGGAAGAATTGCAGAGACATGTGGAGTTGTTTAATTTATTGTTTAGCTGCTCATTTTGTTTTGTTTGTAGTTGCAGGTTACCAGGTCCACCCAGAGGATTCAGGGTGCCTGGGGCAAAGCAATTTTTGGGGCCCCTTCCATAAAAAAAGTTGCAATATTATAGAATACTATATTCTCGTGGGGGCCCCTGCGGGGCCCGGGGCAAATTGCCCCACTTGCCCCCCCTCTGGGAGGTCCTGCAGGTTACATAATGTCAAAATGATCCACATCAATAATTTAAAAAAAATCATCCTTGATATTGAATTCTCCTTCAAAAAGCATTAAAGTTCGGAAGAACTTTTTGTTTGTTTTACCGTAAGCACTCTTTTGCCTGTCTTCCTTGGATGTACAAAATAAACTAGGCAAAGAATTTCAAAACCAGCTAGTAATTTGGAGTGCCTCGTTTTTTTTGGAATTCGTTCTGAGGCACTGTAAAAGGACATGATTTATTGGAGGACAGGTG